GACACTAGCGTATCCTATAGTAGCAACCTCTAGCTTTGTCCCCAATTTTGATGGAGAGTTGCCGGGCCCTGGTTATAATATAACAAATGTTATATGACGGCTTGGGTGATTTCATCACTGTAGATATAGGCCAAATTGTACTGATTTTCCTTTCCAGAGCATACAATTTTGAACGCTCTGGAAAGGAAAAGGCGGGCGAAAAGTTTGCGGGGACTCTGCCCTTGTCCCAGCGATCACGGCCACTCGCACTCTCACGCCGGGGTAGCGCGCACTGGGTTAGTACGGCACAGACGGACGGGGTGGACAGGATTTTTTAACGTTTATTACACTGTTTCCCATAAGGGAGACGCACTAGACCGTCACGGTGGGCGCTGGACGACCCGGACCTTCCGCCGGCTGCAAAAAACCTCAAGGAATGATCTTTTGGACATTCCTACTTGTTGCGTCCGTACCAATGACGCCATCAGGTCAGGTCAGTCCACCACTTCAGTACGTGGTAACACAGTTCATCCCAGGCCTGTACAAATAGTTCATTTTTATTTTGTATTTTTATATTTTGGGCATGTGCCTAGCTCTTGCCCAGCGTGCTCGCTTTCCACTACGAGGCCCCGGGTTCGATTGTCGGTCGAGCCATGACTAAAGTGTGCGATTTCCTTGCAATGTCCCAGTATATGTAGCTGTCTGACGATGAGAAAATTCACTTCTCAGGTTGAAAAGTCTGGAATATGTCGCGGGGATGTCTACGTACTAACCACATTTATCCTCTTAACCCATGGCCGCGAGGCAGGGACGTTGCCGGTAGGCCTGAGCCCGTTCACGGGCTGTCGCGCCAAGTACATACGTACTAACATACTTTTATATTTAATCGCTTATGCTACTGGCATGGTGCGATCTGGCTACGCCAATTCTTAGTATTCGCAACACTCGCGTCACATTTTCACGAGCATCATTTATATATAATATAATAATAATATGCCTTTATTAATATGGCGAGGCTCGGGCCATCAGGCCCGCTCTTCCGCCTGACCACATATATAATTTATTGTTTAAGGTCGCTTCAACATCTAGGTCATTAGCGACCACTATTGCATTTCACGGTATGATAACTGTGAAGATGACATGTTATGATGATGATAGGGAGTAAAAGGACGAACACAAATACAATCATGCCCGAGGCGGGACTCGAAACCGTGATCCTTCCGTCCGAGATCGCTACGGCACAACTGCCTTAACGATCTCGGCCATCCGGACCAGTTTGATAGTATTATAACTTCAGCATCATCAAAGTTTCTAAATAAAATAATGACTGTTGTACCCTTCTTTGTGAAAGAAGTTTGGTTGACAATTACTCTAAATTTCAATAGCTAAAATCAGAACTTCGATTGACTCAGAGCTCTGACAACCGTCAACTCTCTCCGCCCTACAGACGTTGTAATAGAACTGAATCAGTCTGGTTCTCGCTCTTGCGGGGAAAACATTCATGTCTGCCTTCGGTTGATTCTTGTTATTTGCACATTTTTTCTATATATGTGTGTAAATGTTTCATTTCCTAAATATGTTATTTATTGAAATGTTCTAACGAAACTGAGTCATTCGCTCGCATGTGCTCGCTATGGCAGAAGCTGCATCCATGTGAGCTTTCAGTGCATTCGTGATATTTGTGACATGATAACTTTGATATATTTCTTTGAAAACATTTTACTTTATAAATATGACATTATTTTGCAACGTTCTAACATAACTGAATCAGTTGTGTGTTCGCTATGGCAGAGGATGCATCCATCTCTGCTTTCGGTGCCTTTGATATGCCTCCGCTGATACAAGAAATGTCCGTGTCTGCTTGATGCTGGATGCGCTAATCACATCACGGCCTTGATGTTGGTGTTCTGAGTGCTGCTCCTGTGTCCTGTGAATATCACGTATGCCGCGTACTGCGACACATCAACCGATGCATCACTGTGGAGCTGGCGCTCCTCATGTGCAACAGATGTACACTATGGCATAATTGCTAAGTTGATTCAAGTTCAATCATGCATTTAGCGTGTTCATAAACACAGAAGTATATATGTTTCGCTTGTGTTGACTGCAGTTTACTTTAAATCACTTCGTAACATGCATGATTGCACTTCATGCCCAGCTGAGTTAACTATTCAGCATTCTTAATCATCCCAAACAATTGCCATTCTTATTTACAAATTAATGCATTGTTGTGACCATTACTTGATCCTAATTATAATTTGTTTAAGCAAGTATCACAATCTATAAATCTCCCTGCACGATAGCTCCGATTGGCATGCTAGACCATTTTCATATTATCCAAAGGCATTCACGTCGCCTTACCACAAAGCAGGTGATGGTCTTTCGAACTTAAGCATCAATCTTGAGTTGTCAAGGTAAGTAGTGCGGGAAACAAAACTTACTACCTGCAATACACTGCTCCCCGCATTAGCTTGCCCCTTTACTTACATAACATTCTCTATACTACGTATATTACTCCGAACTAGTAAATGTGGCGTCGCCAACGCTGTAAACTGTTTTAGAAATAGTTTCATGTGTTGAAAAGTTCTTTCATATTTCTCGTCTTTAACGCTCAGCTTTGTTTAGGTATGTTATTTCAGAATCTGGCATTGCACTTACGAATGAATCGCAGTAGCTGATACTCTTATAATCCCGTTCAAAAGATCTTATCACTCAATGGCCTTGTATGTTACCTCCATACGGGATATGAACGTGTCTTATTGCAATTTCAAAATTATAATCGTCGTAACAAATACTTGCATGTCTTCATAATGATAATAGTTATATTATAATACAGCTACATTTGAATAAGATAAAAATTATCCATCTTTAATATTTTAGTTGTAGGAAAACGCCGAAACAATTTTGAACTTTTGAAATTTTCAAAAAATCAGAGTTTTGAACAAAAATTAGACCTGCACCATTCTCTTAAACGTCCTTCATACTATCCAACAACAAAATTTAATCAAAAACGATGGAGCCATTTCTTTTAGTTTTGACGTTGTGCCAGGATCTTCATGTAAAGCATTCCCCAAAATTAAAATATCGATTTCAAATTCATGGGGCCGCAACATCAGACAGATCGATTGAGAAATATCAATTTTGAAGAAAATCTACAGAACGGTTTAGCCGCTAGCTTGGTTCACAGACATACAGACAGACAAACGTTTTGTCGTCAATCTATTTTTCGATATTAAGGATCAACAAAATACAGATTCTGGCTACACCACGTGTTAAAAGATTTTTTTCTCAATTTAGTATCTGGATTTATCCACGTTGCCAAAGCCCTGTCATGAGAGTTTTCTAACGAAAATTCGCCGTTTTTTTCCCACAGCATTTCATCACTTTCTACCGTGGTAGCAAGTAATTAAAAATAGTTCTGAAACGCAAATGTAGCCAGATATTGACATAATATTTCCAGCAGATTTAAATAACCATGAACGGTATTGACGCAAATTTCTATACAAATTTCATTAATGTGTGGCAAAATATAATCGATCTTTTAGCTATTTCAGCCAACGCCAACTTAATATATTCAGAAATATATAGATAATAAATGAACATTCAACTCAATGTGGAAAATCGAATTATCAAAATCTCTTCTCCAAAAGCGAAACAAGAACTTGCTTTTAATTTTAATGCCAATAGCTTCAGCAAATATTCATACAAAGATAATTATTCCCTTGTGTGTTAAACAACTTAGGAATATTGCTATTTAGCTTCCTTATCGCTCATTTTACCGTCGTGTCTACAAGATGTTGCCGCAGTGGAACGTTCGAGAGGCTGTACCAGGTTGCAGCTGCCGCAACTTCCTCCAAAGACCGCATCGTCACGTCGCCAATGCCCGCGCGTTTACCTATTCCATGGGCATGGCCTATGGGCTAGGTTAGGATCAATGCACAAAGAAAAGGACATCACGTTCGAAATATGCCACGCAGAAAAAAAGCTTGAGCGCTGTTTGTTAACTATGTGTGATACAGCAATTCAGAATATGTTATCGTTTACGTGGGCTCAAATGAGTTAAATATCTGAATCATTCACCACACCGAAGAAGGAGAGATGCTGCAACAGCAGATAGTTCCTTGTATTATTTGTAATCCTTCATTATTTTACAATGCTAGCGGAATCCGTTCGAAAAGTTCGAACACATGAAGTTAATTACATCTCCCATGAAACACACACACGCACCTACCACGGAAAAGACATAAAATATAGATATGTCACAAGCATTGCAATTCTCGATTGGTACTACGAAACTTTGAAGAAGTTAGATGAAGATTACAGTGATAATTACACTCATTTTTGGGAGTGCCCCTCGTGCGAATGAATACAAATAGAATTTTACAAAAATATCAAACCTCCCTTAGTAATATAATTTTGAACACCGAAGACAAATAACACTCAATATGAACATGTACCTGACCCAAACCCCCACGGATTTTTAAAATTAAATTCCGCGATCCATGGCTCCTTTATTTGATCTCTGCTTCGGCGGTAGCCTGGCACTTATCGGATAATCCACCGAAAACTGCCGATAAGAACAGCTGATCGCTAGAATTCTCCAACAGACTGTTTGAATTCGACCCGGCTTTGTGTCTACTAGCGAATGTTCGCCGCCATCGGTACTCGAACACTAAATCACAATCATATTTGAAATTAAATCCAGTCTTATTCTTGGGAAAAACAATTACATAACGTTCAACAGGAGTGCCCCCTCCCCCTTTCACGTACGCGAGTTCATGAAAGGTTCGTGAAAGCTGATACGAGACAACCACACCACACCACAACAAGCAGCAAAATCTCCAAGTAATCGCGCTGTTGAATGGAATCGAAGGCCGCTATCGCTTCCGAATCACGTTAACACGTGCTTCTCGCGGCCTCCTCTCCTCCCTCGACGCATCCCAAGAGCCCGCCCGTCTCCTTTCAGCACTCAAGTCACTCCCCAGACGCCGCCACGCGCCGCCCGCCACTAGTGATGCGACATCGACAGCAAAATACCGACGTTGCCAAATAACGATGTTAATAATACATCGAAGAAAAACCTTCAATATTTTTAAACGTCGATGTTTTAACGTTGGTTTAGTAACTTCTCATATAATATTCAACAAAATTTAATTCGATATTGGCCGTGTATATTAATCTACAATTAAAATTTAACCGAAAAAGTTATAAAACGTCCTTCCATCAGCAAAGTCACGAAAGAAAAACAGTTGCAGTCTACCATATCCATGACACTGTAACAAGTTCCCTTGATACAGTATCATGGATCTGGTATACTGAAATTGTTCTTTTCTCGTGTACGAAGAAAAACGATGGAAAGGCGAAGGAAATATGAAGACAACAGATTCATCTGGGGGCGAGGGATAGTCTGTTCGATAAAGGTAGGTAGTTCAAACAACGTTCGTGTGGTTCGAACATAGAACAGACAGTGGTACTATCAGTTATTTTTAATAATTTAACTTTTGGGAAATTGTGAACCTGGAAATTTTTTATCCAGGAACAGAACATCAAAAATGTAAAACACGAGCTCAAAACTACGATAAAAACATCAGCTTCAATTCATAGGTTTACAAAATCGATGATTTTTATAGAAACCTGTGTGTTTTGAAAACATCTGCATCGGTGTCGCATCTCTATCTACCACTACATCTCCAAAGTTTTGTCTTCTCGCGGAGGGGGGCAGCTGCCTGCCCTAAAGATATCAGGGACATAAATTACTTATGTCCCTGATATATTTAAAAATAAAAATTATTTACTTCTAATTGAAACTAATCTCTCGGAAGAATATTTAACCTACAGGTTCAATTTAACCTTCAACTGAAATAAAAGTAATTTAAGCGTCTTTTATCCTATTTTATAATCAATTGTTATAAGTAAAATGGTTAATACATAATTCTAGAAATTCACACAAAATATATTTTCTTCAATAAAAAAATAGTTTGAAGAAAAATAACATTATTTGATAATTAAGTAAGATATTTTTTTAATATGTATTCATAATACTAATGTACAGTTTCTATCTATAATTTGTATAAATTATCGTCTGTTAAATGCTATGAATTACATACTTGTTAATTATAGTCTGTCTATTAAAAGTAAGGTTTGATTAAATGGCATAATATTTGTCAGACAGATGTGTCTGCTTCATCAGTTTTCTTAGTTAGGCGCCCCCATGAATAACCACTCCTGGCCTCTTGTTTTGTTTTCCTCTCCTGGCGCTCCTGCGCTCCTTCACGCGCTGCGCGATCTCCAGCGAATGGGCTGGGCACGCTGCGCGGCGCGCGTGTCGGCTTTCCGCCGAGTCACCGTGAAACGAAAGCGACGGCAGCGCCCCACGCGCCCGCGGCGGGAACCGCTGCCGGCCAGTCACGGTGAGGTAGTTGCGGCGCGCGACCGCCAGGGCGGAGGCAGCGTCGGCGGGCGATAAAAAGACGACGATCCGGCCGCGGGCCCGCCATCGCCTGGCTGGCTGTCGCTCGCGCCCGCGCAGAC